ACCGCGACGATTGTGCTGCCGCCTGGTGCCTAAAATGGCAATGCAGCTCACGAGTTTCCCATTGGAATAACGATCGACCACGACCAGGTAGTTTAAACCCTTGTAGTGGAAATAGTCAGCCCAACCAGACACACTGGAAGGGGTAGGCTGGGGGTGTCGGTGGTGTCGGTGGTGCGCTGGGCTGTGATGGTGCAATCCTGTTGCAGTCACTGCACCTAGCCCTAATATCCTTGATTGCAGGGGTGATGCCGGGCCAGAAGACCGAGGACTCCGCTCGGGCCAACATCGACGTCACACCTTGATGGGCAGCGTGCAGTGCTTGGAGGACATCATGGCGTAAGCATGGGGGAATGACGACCCTCTCCTTGTAGAGAACTACACCATCTATTGTATAGAGGTCATCCCGAAACTGATGATACTCCTGCAGCTGTTTCGGCAGCTCATGGCGGAACTCAGGCAGGCCCTGCTCAACCAATCCCACAAGCTCATTCATGGCTACATCACTCTTGCACCCTCGCCCATGTCACAGCTATGCAGTGCAGTGCCGCAACGGCTGACTGTCGTAGACTGACATCGAGGTCATCCGGGTTGTCGGCTTCTAGCACCCGGATGTGAGCCAAGAATGAGGGCTGGAGTAGGGGTGGCGCAGCCAGTGCGGCCATGTCGACAGCTGCAATGTCATCGCTCAGTTGCAACTTATTAGTCATCTGAGGGCCACTGGGGTACCTTGACACCGAGTCCGCCGCTCTGTTTTTGACACCGGGTATGTGGACCATTCGGAACTTGTATCTCAATGTCTTCTCCTTCAGGTTCCTAAGCCTTGCATTGGGGATGTCCTCAAGCGAGCAATCACCAAAGATATTAAGGAGTGGCTTATGGTCAACTGCAATTATCAGCTTGCTGCAGCCTAGCACAAAAAAGCGTGCCTTGTCCAGTGCATCAGCCACTGCCAGAGCTTCGCCCTCGACTGGCGCGTACCTAGACTCGGCAGGATGTGTGAACCGGCTGCCGATGAGGGTCGTTTTCCAGCCGTCCCTGCAGCAGAAAGGCTCGTCTCCTGGACAATCACAGTGCTTTTGAAATAGCCAGAATCCTATGCCTGCCTTCGACCAGTCTGTTGCCAAGCAGGTGGGCTTCTCCTTGTCAAAGATCCTCACACCCTCGTGAATCTCGCTTACAATGACAGCTTTAGACTCCTCGAACAAATCATTCAGTTCTTTGTCCCAGTGAAAGGGCGTGGAGGGCTTGAGGAGTTCACGGAATGGTTGCATTTTGTCCGTCATGCTGAAAGCATAGCTGACCTGGTTGACCACTCCGAACCAGGCCCGCACATCTGTAATGTTGCGTGGCATGGGGAACTCCAGGATGGCTTGGAGGTACTTTCTGCAAGGTCGGACTGATTCAGGCGTAATCTCGAAGCCCGAGAACTCAACTGTGTCTTGGGCGAACCCAAATTTCTCTGGGTTAAGAGTAATTCCATGACGGCCACAGAGGTCTAGCCACTCTACTACCCTGAAGAAACTGTCCTCAATGGTGTCTGCCCATATGAGTGTGTCATCTGTGCACTTAGTATAGTCCGTATATGAGAGTGTAGAGTCAGCATTAATCTGGTCGTACCGTCTAGTGTACCCATCGCCAAAAGCAATGTATCCTTGAGGTGCCACCCTGTAACGATAGCGACCCCAGGGGGTAATGAATGTGGTCAGGTGGCAGTCATCGACATGTAGAGGAACGCTATGATACCCATTCCAAGCATCGAGGACTGTCTTAGTCTTATTTGCTGGCACTGAGCGAGCTTGGTGAAATGGGCTCTGGGTGTAATGGGTTTCTGTCATGGGTAATGTTCACATGTGTTGAATGTGCTGCCCCTGTAGTAGTTGATCAGCCACTTATGCAGTTCTGCTCTGTTGCTCTCAGTGGCGGGGAAGGGTAGTGACTCCGGTTTCTGTGGAGGGGGTTGACACCTTGGGCAGGTACACGGGGTAGTGATGCCGCTCTCACTGTTTGGCTGTGATGAGGAGTCTGCTGACAAGACCTCACCAACCGTTGGAAACTGATCCGTGATCATGCCGAGAGCGACACAAGCTTCTCGGCTGAGGAATATCTTGTCAGAGTTGTCTGTGACATATACCACCTGCCTAGTCTCCAACAGACTACCATGCTTACCCTTTCCCGCGAACCTCAGAATTGCTGCACCAAGGATATTGATCCCTCTGCTGTTGGCTGCATGCACATAGTTACCGGGCATGAGGTCTGCTGCACTGAGTCCCAGGCGGCTTGATCATCTTTATGTGGCCTAAGCAGCTCTGGCAGCCAGTATCTGCCATTAGGGGAGGGAGGCAGCTTTAGTTTTTGCAGCATGGTAGGAGTCCGAGACGGTCATAGTCTGCCTGCTTAAAGTACTGGACAGCTGTATTGAGACGTTGAGGCTGTGACGCCCATCGTCTCCAGCTCGATAGCTGGTCATACAGATGGTGATCTAGCGTCAGGGTACGTATACAGCTGTCATCAAGGTGGTGATTGCGGCTACAGGGCGGATCCTAGCTACAGTAGCGAGGCACACTTGTCTGAACTGGCTGTTCGAGCTGTCATGTGCGCTTGTCCTTTCCCTACCATGGTTGATGCATCTTTTTGCCTTTCTGATACAGGCTTGCGTGGCAGGCAGCTGCCGGCTGTGACTGCAAAAGTCTGTTTGGCGATCGCTTGCCTGCCTCTTGCTCACGAACTTGAACACCTCCTCGAGAGTCATGTGCGCTGTTCGGATCTCGCGAGGCAGATCGCGAGTTGATCTAGCTGTCAGGCAGACCCGCTAGCTAAACACATCCCGGAGAACCTCATTGGTGGTAATTCACTTCCTTCTGGCAGTTCTGGCATCGTCAGTGGCAAATTTGGACCGACCTCGCTGGTCCAGTGATCCGGCGCCGAATGCGCGTACTGGCTGCGTCTGATCATGAGTCATGTTGGGCGGGTGTGGAAACGAGCAATCTGCGTGTTCTCCTCTTGCCACTGCAAGTTCTTTCATTCGCTGCAGTACATGCTCCTCTGTGTATTCACAAATCGGCACGCACGCTTATCTCGTCGGTCTCTGCGAAGACCTCGTCACAGACACTCTTAGCAGTCTGGACTACTTTTCCTGGCCAGTAACGTTAGTTGCGGAAGACCATAGTATGTCCATCTGGGTCAGTGAAGTAAGGTCCATTCTTCGCTGGCCGTCAGAGGGACAATGTAGGTCTCTTACCTTTTCGACCTTAGCGGGGGCGACTTGCGGTTGGGTGTGTACTTCTGCTGTCGACGTATCTGGTGTAACTGACTCCACGATTGCTAGGATCAAACGTCGCAGTTTGTACTCGCAGCGAGAACTGGACAGGTTCACAGGCAGGCATGGATGGGGGACACTCGGGCGTGGACGGTTCGATGTTGCCTGCTAGATCAACGAATTTGTCGCCAGCATACCGATAGGCAAACCTTTGTCTCTGACGCATTGGACGCGGGACAATGCTGGACAATTCGACAGACGAAGTGAGGCCATTTGTGTATTGACTCTGCGCGCCATTGCTACGGCATTAAATAAGCTGCTCTAATAATGCAGGCATGCATGCATGAGGCATGCATGCATTACATACATACATACATACATACATACATACATACATACATACATACATACATACATACATACATACATACATACATACATACATACATCGTGCGTGCGTGCGTGCGTGCGTGCGTGCATGCGTGCGTGCGTGCGTGTGTTGGTGTGCGCATGGGTGCGTCCATGCGCGTGTGTGCGTGCGTTCGCGTGTGTGTTGTACGCGTGCGCATGCGTGTGTCTGTATCATGTATCTTACCATATGAAGAACAGATTTAGTGTAATTTTGCACGTCGTCCAGTTGCGAAACAAGTCTATCATCTTGGCATGCACGTGATTGGCTGTTGCCACCTCCTCCTCATTTCTTACCGCCTACGAACGCCAAACATAATAACGACTAAGACAACGACCCCTGGCGGAAATGCACTGCTGTAATTAAACTTGTTATATCCTGTTCAGAAGTAGAGCTCGCATGATAAATAGACGTTTATCATGTATTCGTAATGTTACTGACAAGTTAGTTTATTAATTACTAAACACTGTGCGCTATACACAGGGCAGATATTAGAGACCATGTTGTAGATGTCACAGGCACCTGATTTATAGTTACCTTCTGCTTGAAGACGTAGTCGGGAACTATGACCTTGTTGACCTTTGCCGCCTTCCTGATGAGGTCACTGGCCTCGTTGTCTTTGTCGTTGGCCAATAGCCATCGCACCGATTCTGACGTACACCTGATAATCATTAATTAAATTAATTAAATTAGCGAGTGTGATACCACAAAAACTATCGACAAAAAATAAATAAACGACGCGTCAGAATCAGGTTAATGAATTTAAGCAGCTTCGATTACTCTTCCCAGTTCCGATTTTTATCGAGATAGCATCATAGATGGCGCTACGTACCACCAGTATGGCAGCATCAGCAGACCGGGAGCAGTGACAGCCAGTTGCAACCAGAACCAATCACGGACGAAAATGGCAAAGACACCGACGAGGCAGTATCCTACCGTGAACGCGTACTGGAAACCTAAACCACCTGTCACTCTCCATGGCTCGCCTACCATCTCATTTGCTGCAGACGAAACGAGATTCCAATCAATGTTTGACTGAAATATTGTTACTGTTATTTACTCGATGAACGATGGATCCACAGCAGCGTTCATGCGTTAATCAATTCAAGAATTTAATTAAATATGCGTTTATTTATTACATTTATTAATCAGAGGCAATCATAAACATTGTCTTAATCGTCGTCTTAATTGTTATTTGAAAATAGTAATATTGGCGACGATGGCGACGCTACTGTCAAGGCAATAGTCACCTCTACTGAACGGTGAGCAATTAGTGACGTGTACACGGAAAGCAGTGACGTTGCATCGTTTACGTTAAGAATACAGTATTGGTGACGTGTACACGAAAAGCCGTGACGTTACTGCGGTCACGCAATGAATACGATCATCGTGACGTGTACACGAAAACACGTGACGTTTCTCGGTCACGCAATTAATACGATGATTGTGACGGTTACACGGAAAGTCGTGACGTTGCCGCCTAACTCGTGTACTCACTCATGACGAAGACTGTCATGAAGGTACCGGAGGTGCACGAGCCGAGGATGACGCGTGTGATGGTGAAGCTGACAAACTCTGGCATGAAGGCGCAGGCGACACCAGCCACCAACTGCAGCAGCACGTTGAAGTACAAAACCTTCTTCCTGCCAAATCTACGTGCACGCAATATATATATATATATATATTTTATAATATAAAGAAACATATGGTTGTGTGTGTGTGTGTGTGATGTGTGGTTGTGTGTGTGTGTGTGTGTGTGGTGTGTGTGTGTGTGTGTTGTGTGTTGGTGTGTGTGTGTGTTGTGTGTGATGTGTGTGTGTGTGTAGTGATGTTTTGTGTATATATATATAATAGTGTGTGCATTTTTCTTTTGTCGTCCGTATTCATGCAACGCGCGAAATTGGTGTGAATCAGTATCATAATTTGATCTATCCTTAAACGCATTGTATTATTTTTGAATTATTGATTATATTCCAATGTTTGCCTGATCTGATGAAGAGATTATATCTTCGAAGCTTGTCAATTGAACTTTAACACCCTTATTCTATAACTGAACTTTTTTATCTACATCGGTTGTGTGTGTGTGTGTAGTGTGTGTGTGTGTGTTGTGTGTGTGTGTGTGTGTGGTGTGTCTGTGTGTGTGTTGTGAGTTGTGAGTGTGATGCGCCGGCGCCGTAGCTAATACATCCACTCGCCATGAATTTAAGTTCTATCTGAATCAGAGGTACGTGTGCCGACGTGAGAGACATGTATGTTCTATCAGGACAGACGTGCCTGTTCGTCGTGAGAGAGCGGCTGAAAGCTGACTTTAAAATTTTTCGAATGCCAGCGGCAGAGATTGATCTCCGCCGCGGTTCCTGTCGATAGGTCTGCCCAAATTGCCACGGCTTCTATACCACAGAACGACGATGAAACAAGGAGTTGCCGGAGAGCTTGAAGACATCCGAACGGTCGCAAACCAAAGTCCCACTGCAAACGTAAAAGCAGAAACGTCAAACACTCGATTTGTAATTCTATAAATCCGATTGTTCACGCACCGCCCTCTCCTGGGCGGTGTTTGTGGCCTGTGGCGTTGTTGTTTGCTCAGCGTATGTCCAGCTTTTTATTAGCTAAATTAAGGGTTTTAATTACTAATTATTATTTATTAGTTATTATTGTATTATTAAGGGTTTAGATGTAATTACTAATTAGAAGTTTCAGCAGCCTCTATAAATTTGTGTTTTTCACACACTTTTACGCGTTGTAACTAATACAAAATACGTAAAAGTAGTTAGTGACAGATCTCCAGGAGGCAGAATATGACTGTTTCTAACAACTGTCTAGGTGTCCAGTAGTCTAAGTGTCTCTATGAGAATATTTGTTCTATGATATTTCTATGAGAGTATATATCTATTATTCTAATGTATAAGAGCTTTTCATGAATTTCTATTTCCTAAGATATATTTCTAATGATTTTCTATATTCTATATATATATTTTATGTCTATGTTCTACTGATATCTATGTACTATATATTCTAACTATGATATTCTAGATCAACCTAGTATATATATTCGCCATAAGCCGGACGTACATAGCGGCCGTCAGATTTTTTTAATTTCTGTCGTCTTGTATTGTGAACGTGTCGTACACCCAGCGAATCGCACGTCACTTCCTCCACTGCCGACCTCTGCCGAACGTGGCAACTGTGTGCTGGTAGTTTGCGCGTTAAGTAAGTGCAGCATTGCTGTACTCGCCACGTCTTGTCGTCGTACGGAAGGGTGCCGTTGAAGTCGATGTCATCGACTGAGAGTCGGATGATCAAGCCCAAAGGTAGTAACACCTGCACGCGCGTATCAAGAGCCTAATAGGCAGACGAACGTTTAGTGAGCTTTGCAACGAGTGACGATATTAATATAATATTTATATATATACTATACTATACTATATATATCTAACTATATATATATATGTGGTGTGTCGTGTGTGTGTGTGTGTGTGTCCTGTGTGTGTGTGTGTGTGTGTGTTGTTGTCGTGTGTGTGTGTGTGTGCTGTGCGTGGTCGTATATGTTGTGTGCGTATAGGTAGGTGGCGTAAGGTAGCGTGTACCGGCGTAACGGCCTGTAGTACGCACGTGTGTGTGGTGTGTTGTGTGTGTGTGTGTGTAGTGTTGTGTGTTGTGTGTGTGTATGTGGGTGTGGTTGTATGTGCGGCGTGCGTGCGTGCGTGCATGCGTGCGGTCAAAGTGTTAATGTGTGGGCGTGCGTGCGTGCGTGCGATTTCGGTGACACCCCTGAACTGAACTGTGTTCGGGTATGGCGCGAGAAGACATAACGCCAGGCTGTGCAGTCCAACTCGGTATACCGGCAAGTACACGCGATATTAGATACGCGCTCTGGTACTTCCCAAAGTCTCAACTAGATACTGATTGCCATCGTCATAGGTCTACCATCGGGACGTCTAATGCTGTCCCTATAGGCGCAAAATCAGCAACGTACCCACACATATAATACACATAATATGTATCATGCCTGCACCAATCTTAAGAATCAGAGGCAACTATGCACTGATTGCATACGCGAATGTTACCATCGTAGAGGAGTGAATATATACCAGTAAAGCCGGAGCAGAGGCGATATTATAGGGGAGTGAAATTGTTTCGAAATGTTAGACAGAGAAATGGAAATGTTGCTTGTAGAGAGAGAGAGCGAGAGAGAAGCAGAGAGAGAAGAGAGAGATGAGAAAGAGAAAAGGAAGAGAGAGAGAGGAGAGAAGAGAGAGGAGGAGAGAGAGAGAGAGAGAAAGAGGAGAAGAGAGAGAGAACAGAGAGGAAAGAGCAGAGGAGAGAAAGAGAGAGAAAGAGAGAAGAAGAAGAGAGAGAGAGAGAGAGAGAGAATGGAAGAGAGAGAGAGAGGGGTAGCAAGAGAAAGAGAAGAGAGAGAGAGAGAGAGAAGAGAAAGGAGAGAGAAAAGAGAAGAGAGAGAAGAAGAGAGAGAGAAAGAGAGAGCAAGAGAGAGTAGAGAGAAGAGAGAGAGAGCGAGAGAGCGAAAGAGCGAGAGAGAGAGAGAGAGAGAGAGAGAGAGAGAGAGAGCGAGAGAGCGAGAGAGAGAAGAGAAAAAAAAGATGAGAGAGAGAATGAGACTAGGTATCTCGTGCACGTATGTGAGTAGATGTGCGTGCGAGCGCGTGTGTGAGAGAGAGTGGGGGAGGCAGACAGGGTGGAGAGAGAAAAAGATAGGAGAAAAGGGGACAGAAAGAGGGCGGGAGATGCAGAGTGTGCGCGAGCATGCGTGAGTGAGTGCATGTGCGCGTGTGTGCATGCGCTCGCGTGTGCGCGTATGTCTGTTGAAATGTTGTTAACCGAATATGGGCAGGGAAAAGAAAAACGTTGTCGGGGAAAGAGCCTGAATTATGGCAAAACTAAAGTTTCTGAACGATTCTCGCTAGTATTGCACACAAATCCACTGAAGCTGTGGTTGAAACTACGCTTAATGTCACCGATGTCTGTCCGTAAATATATTCCTAAGAAAACCGCAATTCACGCTAACGAAGACCAGGAACTAACAACCTAAAACAGTGAAATTCCATCAAACATATGAGATACATCTAACAGGTCAATCAAAAACATACATTGCGTACATAACAGTCATCAAAAAACATACACTCTATAACAGTCATCAGAACATACCATACTAAACGGTCATGCAGAACATACAAAATCTAAGCATACGAATACATCAGAACAGTCCATCAACATAAATTAACATAACAGTCATCAGAACATACATACTAAGACAAAAGCATCAACATACTAATCAAACATCCAATCAGACTAAACAGTCATCACGAAGCATCATGGAACCACACTACATCAAACAGTTCATCAGAACATACATCTAACAACATCAAAACATACCATCCTACAACAGTCATAAGAACATACATCGAACAGATCATCAGCACATTATTCATCTAACAGTCATTGCAGAACATAACATCAAACAGTCGGACGCAGGACACGCAACATCATCTGACAGTCTCCTCCCTAAACCTCTGCCTTGCGAATCCTTATCTACCTCAGTGTATTAGCAGACTGAAAAACGTCACTCGCCACAATCGCAACAAGACGCACATTTTGACAATGGATCATGTGGTACT